CTTCTGTGTCAGCCGCGCTGCACGGATGCGCTGTTTTCGTTCAAATCAAAGCGTAAATACACATAGAAAACGTATCCTTGTGTCGCTATTCTGATGACACAGAATAGCGTACGCTGCTTGCGTTCAGCGGATATTCTCCAAAATGGCGCTACGGTGATGCGGAGAAACAGAGGAGACGAATTGTTGAATAAAGTCGTTTTTTTTTTTCTTCGCGTACAAAAAGTATTCTTGTCGCTTCATAATGTTACGGTTGAACCACTGATGGCAGATGGACTATTCTGACGATGTCCTTCATACTTTTCTGGACCTTGACAGTGTAATTTACTTGGCAGTCAATGGGACAGTCACAAGCCTCCCGGTTTTCATCCAAAATATCTTCAATTGTGTTCTGAAGACGAACGAAGCTTTTACGGGTTTGAAACGACATGGGGGTAAGTGATTAATGACAAAATTTTCATTTTGTGGTGGAGTATCCCTTTAAAAGAAAAGTTCACCCAAAAATGAAAATTCTGTTATTTACTCACCCTCAAGTAGTAGTATGGAAAAAAAATACTTTGGAAGTCAAAGGCTACCGTCAAAAGATACCAACATTCTTCAAAATATCTCCTTTTGTGTTTAATAGAAGAAAGAAGTTCATACAGGTTGGGAACAACTTGAGGGTGAGTAAATGATGACAAAATTTCCATTTTTGGGTGAACTGTACCTTTTAATATAGTCATGTATACAGCATTAAATTGCACTGACAAAAAAGAATAAACTGTTCTCCAAAGCCTTTAATTTTAGAAAACCTCTTGTGCTCCTTGAGATTTTTCCAGGCTGATCTGAGGGAAGATATCAGACATTCAGTGAATAGATTAGAAGGTCATGACCCAAACCCCAGAGTGCTGGTTTTCTCATTATCATGTGCTTCCGGACCAGTGAAAAGGCTTTGGTCTCCTCAGAAGTACACAGACTGTTTTCCTCACGACACTTCATCTGAGATGACACGTCATGTTTGTGTCTCAGGTGCAACACTAGCGATGCGGCCCGCCCCGATGGCCCTGGAGGACATTGTGGAGTGGCGTCAAACCCCTCCTCCCATTAGCAGCACCCAGGGCAGCTTCCGTCTGCGGCGCGGCAGCCGCTTCACCTGGAGGAAAGAGTGTCTGGCGGTGATGGAGAGGTGAGAGGATGTGGTAAATTGTGTGAATGGTCAGGACAGGGCATTGTGGGTCGTTCCAGGATAATGGATGACCTTTCAATTTTGAAACTGATCTTTGAGGTAACACTTTACAAGAAGATTCCAATTGTTAACATTAGTTAACTACATTAGTGAACAAGAACAAACAATGAAAAATCATTAAGTAATTTATCATTGTTAATTTTAATGTTCATTAATACAGTAATAAAATTGAAAGTTATATCTGTTAACATGATTTAATGGACCTGAGTTAGTATAGCAAAAATGTGTAAATACTGTAACAAATGTTTATTGTTCATTGATTTTAGTTAATCCATTAGCTAATGTTAACTAAGGGAGTTTTACCTTATTTTTGCTGTTTAGTGTTTAACAGTCCTGTCAAGCATTACTAGCTTCGTCCTCAAGGTCATGACACTACAAGATTCTTATTAGAAAGTAAATGCTAATTAATAAATTAATTGATGTAATACTAATTTCTGCAAATATCCCCATTTCAATAATTCATTGTTTAATGGATAGTTGTTTATAATGCAGAATCACAGGTGGTAACAGGATTGAACAACAAACATTTTCTACAGCTTTTAATAATCACAATTTATTTTCATTGGTAAACATACTATTGTTTATTCATTGTTAATTTATGTTTGTTCATAATACATTAGCCGATGTGAATTTATACAGCTTGAAATGTTAAAAATGTATCAATTTAGTATGTAGAAATATACATGAACCTAGATAATTGAATTCTGTAAAAGTACTGTTCATTACTGGTTCATGACACCTAATGTATTAACTAAGGAATTTTGAACCTCATTGTAAAGTGTTAATTTATTTGACTGATTAATGCATATTTACTTGAATTATATACTTGGAAAGAAATGTCATCTTCATTGACATATGTAAGAATGTGTGCCATTGTTTAATTCAGTATGTTAGTGTTTATATTAATAATTAGCTCTTTAAATTAATCTAATGATGCTGTACATATAGTTTGCTGTGGTATCTTAACTGTTATCAAGAATTGTGAAATATGACTGGTATTGACTACTGACTACTGAAATGTTGGTATTGTGACAACTGTAAAACAATCAACCTAAATCTAGATTGAACAAAGACATAATGCAAGCATATATTTAAAGCTATGAAATGTGTTATAAAAAGGTTATCTGCCTTACACTATGTTTATCTTATGTTTTCGCACAAGTTATTTCAATGACAACCAGTACCCCGATGAAGCCAAGCGAGAGGAAATTGCCAACGCCTGCAATGCAGTTATTCAGAAACCAGGTAGAATGTTTAAACTCAAGCTCCATAAAGAAGATGAATGCATGTGTAAATGCCTGTTATCGTGGCCCCAGACGTTATTGATGAGCTTTGCTGTGATTTGATTAAGGGAAGAAGCTTTCAGATCTTGAGAGAGTCACGTCTCTGAAAGTTTACAACTGGTTTGCCAACAGACGGAAGGAAATTAAGAGAAGAGCCAACATAGGTAATGTTGAAGCCCTCTGGGGACAAACAAAGCTCGAATTACACGCAACAATGCATTTTGAATATGGACAATGTCATTATTTCCATTGCGTTGTTATCGCCATGCTGCAGCTGTCTCGTTCAAAATGTGCATTCATCAGAAATATTGAATTTACAGAAAAATGCCTTTCAGAAAACTCAGTTCCATTATGTTGGGTACATCCTAATGGGCTCAGATATGTTATGGCAAGGTCTGTTTTTTTCTAAGAAGCAGCAATCCTGGAGAGTCATGTTTATTTTTTTTAGAATAATGTTACATTTATATATAATAATATTTTATTTGATAAAAATTATTTTTGTCTGTTTTAATTAATTTAATTGGCCAATACCAATTAGATAATAATTATTCTCATGTCGTTATGGCTGATACTCATTAAATGTCTAATATTGAAATATATATATATATATATATATATATATACAGTATATATTAGTATACTATTTAGTATATCATTTTATATTTATATCATATATTTTTTTTCATATATTTTATCCTAGATTAATTAAAAATTCTGCCTAATACCAAATAGCTATTAATTATTGTCATGTCATGGCTGATAATCACTATATGGTTGATATCGAAATTTAATGCTATTTTGTAAATAAAATAAATAATTTTAAATGCTGCATATGAATTTAGGAATGACAGCAGAGGTCAGTCTAAATTTGAAAATGGGGAAAATGAAAATGCACAATTAAATATCCAATACCAGCCAATATAAATCCAATAAATACATTTTTAAAAATCAGCCAAAATTCCGAAATGGTACCAATACACCATGAGTTGTATGAACTAGTTCATGCTCTTTTGTCTTTTAATAACACAAAGTCATTCAAACAGGTTTGCAGAGGCAAAAGCAGAGGGCTTCAGACCAATCTCTGGTTCTCTGCTTCCTTATAGGATGACAACCCCGGCCCAAACGAACACCAGGACCCCATAGCTTTGGCAGTGGAGATGGCCGCTGTCAATCACAGCATCCTGGCACTGGCGAGGCAGGGCGGAGCTACCAGTGACATCAAGACAGAGGTGCTGGACGATGAGTGAGAATCCTCCCTTTCACGTGGAGCGCGGAGGGAAGCCGAAGGAGAAATGTGGGGTTACGAAAAACAAAGCCAAACAGTTTGTGCGTGAACTGTTATTATGAGGAATATGGCCAGGTCGTGGATGACCAAAGTGAATGCGGAAGTTATAAAGAATGTTAACCCAACATTCCCCCTCCTCCTCCCTCCTACATGTGACGCCTCAATAGTCTTTCCATTCAAACCGTTCTCCTGCACGCAGTGGGTTGAGGAGGCGCTGCAATTAAACTGCTGATGAAACACATTCACTAAAAACTTCATGCGACATATCACCCTGCCATCTCACACTTGGATAGTGAATTTCACCTCTCAGTTTTCCTTCTTTCAGGAAGTCTTCTTTGCAGGATATAAGAGGTCAGTATCATACTAAATGCTCACTGCCTCAGTCTCTCCAGGGAAAGTGTGTTGGGAAGCATATTCTCTCTCACTTCTTAACTTATTTCTTTATGTGTGTGCAGTCCAGCGTTGCTGAAATTGCGTTTAAACATGTACAGTTGTCACCAGGGTCTAAAGTTAACACTCGCCTAGCACCAAATGTGTACCTGCGACTTTGCCAAGTCTGCTCTGCCAAGCATTAACAGACTAGAAAATCAAAATATATATATATATATATATATATATATATTGGCTAGTTGGTAAGTCTTGCTAAGAAGTGCAAAATATAGTGATTCGAAATTGACTAGTTTATTGATAAGTCTTAAGGAAGTCTTGAACATGTTTCTTTTTGGGCGTCTACATAAAATGTGTTTTTGCATTCAAAAACAGCTCTTAAGGCATGGTTTTAAATTTTTTTATTTATTTTATGTTTAAATTACATTATTTTAAAAGTTATTTTAACTTCATATGTTGTCTTAAAAATGGCTGAGACACTAAAAAAACATTGCCATACTAGGGGTGGGCGATATGACCAAAATCAATAATTGTATTTCTCGGTAACAAAATATATCACAATATTGTTATTTTTGGTCTTTATGATATCAAATTTTTTGATACCATTAAATTTCATAAGTCTTGTCATCAGTGTCGTGTCAATATCACCCAAAACTAATACTAGCCGAGAAAAAAAAACCTCAAGCTCACTGAAGACAAGTAAACGGTCAGCGATTAAATAAGAATAAGACACTAATTACAAGCAACAGGACAAAAAAAAAAAAAACTACAGTGGAACAAATAAATAACAAAGTGAGAGATTTTCTCTCTTTTGTTGTTTGATAAGGAATGACAGACAGCAGGAATATTAGACTGCTGTCACTTTAAGAGC